ATTTCTTGTATCAGTTAGTTCTATTGCTCACTTCTTTTTATCATCCTTTACCATTGACATATGTAATTAATTTAATACATAATAATAATACATAATCTGGATATATTTAGATCGATTTTTCTGCACGATCTTCAAAATTTTCCTTAGATAAATTCCAAAAAAGTGCAATTCCAATATAAAAACGGTAACACTGTGTTAAACAAAAAATTAATGCGATGAAAAATTGTGCTTGCTGTTGTTGTTTATGATGATCATTAATATTTTTATTACTACTTACAACTAAATCTTATGGTTGTATGTCTGTTTATTTTTCTTGAACCAAAACAAGTGCAACAAGATTATGAACGTGTTGTAATTGACTTTTATTTACAATTGTTGTTGGCTTTTGTTGATTTTGTTGCTGCCGTTAATATTGTTGGAATTTCAATTGATTGGGGAAACACTTTCATAGATGAATGCAACATTTGATTTGTTATTCTGTTGCTGCTGTTGTTGCAGTTTGGTATTCGAAATATAAGACACGCAAACATTTTAAGTCATAACAAAACTATTAAAATACAGAATGTACTGGTTAAAACGAACCTTACAAAAATGTTAACTAGGAACAAAAGCTCTACGTTTATATAACTCTTAAAATAAACTAATAAGATCAATTATGTTAAAAATTTTAATACAGGGTCTGTTCCTCTAAATGCGAACGAAGAAATAAATGTTCTTTCACATTTAGAGGAACGCTGTTTACTATAAAGAGATTTGGATTCCTTGAACCTGATCTAATGTAGATTATAAAATTTGGCCACAAATACAATGTTCATGAAATAACATAAAATTTCTTAGCGAATCTACACTGTTCAAGTTAGATATGAATACCACAATTATCTCACATTTAACTTTACAATTGCCAGCCAATACAAATTACCATCACAAACGAAAAAATAAAATATCACGCTTGGAAAGTTGAGATTTTAAAAGAACCACTATAAATACATATGTATTATTGGTAGACTTATTTCGTTCATAGTACATAGTACAAATATTAAAAAGAAAATGTCTTCCTTGCTAGATTCATGCATTTACTTTGATATAATAAAATTCATGAATAATTTGTTTTTAAATTAAATTAAAAGTATCCCCTATATTTAAATCAAATAAAGAATAAAATAGTAACATGAAAACGGTGGCATGTCATATCTCTTTCTTAAATTCTAAACAAATATTCCATACATTTTTAATTTAATTTAATTTAATTTAATTTTATTTATTTCCAAATAAACCTAGCCTATTGGCCATAATCGGTGACAAATTTCTACAAATTTCAGTTTTAAATGTGTCACAAGATTTTACGATACTTTTGAAAGTGTCGTAACGTCCATGGACATTATGACATGTCACCTCAGTGAACACCAATAAAAGTAAAGCGCTCAATACTTATTTTCTAAACTAAATCTTATCTTAGAAAAACTGAATTTTCAATATAAAAACAGCAATAGGAAAAATTTAAATAGGTTCCAACCTGTTTTACCTAGTCAATCAATTTAGTATTAGATTATAATATATTGGTTATTATAAGTAATTGGGTGAGAATCAGTCTTAAGAGCACTTCATTAAAATATTAAAATGTTCTCATTTTCCATCTCTGATATCATGACAAATACTAGTAAAATTAAATTCAAAACAAATACAATGCATTTTCTGCTCTTCTGAGTTGAATTCACTCAATTATTATTTCATTAATAAAATTTGTTATGCAAGTTAAGCAGAAAATATAAAAATGTCTTAATTTTTTTATTTGTTTTTATTAAGCTGTAAAATCTATTGCTTTAAAACAAACTGTCATTTTAACTGCAGCAACAAAAACACTGTAAAAAATAATGGTTTGTGGTTATTGACTGTTAATTGCTGCAATAATTATTTAACAGGAAGAGATTTTGAATGAATTCTTATTCAGTTTTAATTCATTTGAATGGCTTTACTTAACATTTGTTTTAAAACTGTTTTTAATTTATGCTGATTTGAGGAAATTTTATTAATTAATAATAATGTACAATGTACATACTTTCTATCTCTTGATTCAATAATTATTGGATTCCAAAAAATAGTTAGCTTGTTCTGTATTTAAATTTTCGTCTCTGAAGTTTATATTTTCTATTATTTTTTTTCCAAGTGTAATTATTATTTGTTATAAATAATAATAATTTGATGTTTTAATTTAATTAGTTACGGTAGCGATTACTCATCATCACCATCTTAGCTAATCGAAAAAAAAAAAACTAAATCAAAATTTTATAACTTAAGTTTCCTTTTAGTTGTTTAATTTCAAAATCAAAACAACAAGTGGCAATGACAAATACAAATACGAATAAATATTTTCATTTGTTTGTGTGCAAGTAAAAATGTTGCACGAACACGTTGTAGTTGATGGATGTTTAGTTTTGTGTTTTGATATTGAATTGTTGTAACACAAATGGATGTTGTTTGAATAGTTTTGCGATGAAAACCATCATAATTTTCTTCAGCAACACCAACCAACAACTATTTATGTGTAAATAGTTAATGAAACTATGACGAGATTGTCAGCAGATAACCGGAAACAATTTTATACAGTCATTGAAAATGTTGTAAATTATATTCCGCTCCTTTATACTGTTGCAATGCCTACGACTACACTAAGCACTTTTAATTTGTAGAAATAATGTTATTATTTTCCAATGAAAGACATACATACATAGGTATGCCGTTATGTTTGTTTTCTTATTTACATAAATTTACATAATTCGCGGTTAATTTTCCAAAAGGAAACAAATGTAATTGAATTTTTAGGAAAGGAAATAAAATTAGTAGAGCTTTTACAAATGTATTACATATCTGAAGTTATAAGAGATTTATCAAACTACTACACCTATTGGGACAAAAACTTAAATAGATTATTTTAATTTAAGGGCTAAATATTTAGATCTTTAGGTGGAGATTACTATAGGTCAGTTTTTTTTTGGCCAACAACGCGGATCGGCATCTGTTTTCAATATAAAGTACAAATGATCGGTGGTGTTATTACAATTGCTATTATATTGAGAGCGTATACGTAATATTAACTATAATATTCGAAATATTATTTATACGCGATCCGGTGAAGGTAGTGTTTATAAACTGATTAACCGGCGGGTCGAAAAATTCCTTCACAAAATGAAAGTATGAAAGTATTTTTAGCTGCTAGGTCAAATTTTTACGCTAATTGAAAGTTTATAGTGGGTTAACGGGATTTTTAACTTTAATTAATAGAAACTATTAACGAATGGGGTATCATATGAAAGCTCCTTCGAAGTGCCATTGAATAATATGTAAATCAAGAACATCCATTTCGAAATTTTCGCGGTTTCCGAATAAAAGCATATTTTTTTGGAAAATCGAAAAAATGGTATTTAAACGGCTAACTAAATGGCCAAATTAAAAAATTTTCTGTGAAATGCACTGTCTAATGTGTATAAGTTAAATGCGGAAAGTTTGAATATATTTAAATACTTAAAACATGTTTTTTTTTTGAGATTTTTACATTTACTAATGCGCTTTCGACCTTTTAAATGATACCACTGTCGCCCTACTTCAATAAACATTTATATCTTTGCATAACAAGTGTTTACAAAATGGACTCGAATGACCCATTAAAAATCAATATTTGTGTTCCGAAATCTGCAAGATATATTCTGCAGATAGCTAAACAAAACATATGTTTTTGAAGTGAATTCTGAAAGTATTTGTAAAATTTTAATAAACTTAGTGTTAAAAAGCGCAACTTTCAATGACCGATAACATAAAAGTTTGACCTACCAACGCCGAACGGTTTGGGGGCTTTAATACTCTAACCTAGTACTTTAAGTTATCATGGGAATTTTTCACCCCCCAGACCATGACCCTCAATTTGTTGCATAATGTAATTCTAAACATTATTTTCCGTTTGTGCATATGAAAACAGACTTAAGATTGTTAAACAAATGTTAGGAAATTTTAAACATATATTATGTATATAAAATGGATTTACAATTTCAGACAATCAGGAAATTAGTAAAAAGTTGTCATTTAAACCAATAAAAAATTAACTATTTAAACAAATTTCATCCATTAAATGAAGAAATTTGTTATTTATTAAGACGAATAAATAACTTTGATGATAAAATGTAGAATCCACTTACTTGTTTACTGTGTGAGTATAATTGAAGGCGAGAAGTTTCTCAAACGTTCTCAAAGCGGACTTTATTGAACGAAACATAAAGGTTGTTGTCGCTGTCCGAGAATTTATGCTGCTGGGGTTTTTCACAAACTGTAATGGCGCTTTGGTTAATTGACAGGAAGTCAGAATGACACCTGTTAATATTCCTAAGCGTCATTCACAGTAATTTGAATAACCACAGGCATAGCGAGCGGAGGGAGGTCACAATTAAAGCAGGGGCTCAATGTCTATGTCGAGACAGTCGTCGTCTACTTCCGTTCCCGATGAATCGTCGCGATATAGATGCATTATTTATATAGATGCATTATATATTCAAAGGTCAATTTATCCCTCCTATGGCAACTTCCATATACCTAACGAATCAATAATATCTTCAAATCTGTATAAGTTTGTTTTCTTATGATATATTAATGTACATATCTTTACTAAAAAGTGCAAATATCTTATTAAGTAATTCATAATATTTCGCAAAATGGCATTTTTCAACTAAATATTATAATATTTTAAAGATTTCTAAATATTTCGGTTAACCGGTTTTTTATACTCGGTTAAATGACAAACTGGTTTTCTAGAAATGGTCAATTCTCGGTTAACCGAAAAACCGGTTTTTCCAAAAGTCGCTTTTTTATAAACACTAGGTGAGGGTATTAAGGAAAGACAAAGAGCAATCCCATTATTTTTTATTTCTATATTCGAAAATATTTGGTTAAAATCTTATTATAAATATTTAATTTGTAAATATACATAACTAAATTATTTTTTTTCCAATACTTGCAGTTAACACGAACTTGTTTATCATCTTAATAAACTAATTGTTATCTGAACCTATTTTTGTTTCATAAAGGTAAGTACTGACAAAAAAGCAGTGAATTATTTTAAAATCGTTTAGGGCGGGTTTCTTACTAATCAATTAAGTGTGGCTTGCTGTTAGATTAAACTTAAAACAAATTTAGCAGGATTTTAAACGGGCAGAAGCTAATAACCAGCTTTTCAGACAAAAACATAAACAATAAACAGCTGTTTTCGCCATAATACTTTTGTAAAATTAAAAATTTTAAAAAAATATATGTATATTAAAATAAACATTTAAAACAATAATATTATTGGTAAAACAATTCAAAAAAATTACTATTGACATAAAACATTAAGTTTTTTATTCCGATTTGATTACTTTATTGTTTTTATTGAATAGTTTTTCTCACTTCAGGTTAAAACAAAATAATAAACTAAATAATCGAGTACTGAAATCATAAAATTTATATTAAACTATGTTTAAACAAAGAATGACATAGATTTTTTTGTTTTCACTTTTATCAGAAAAACCCGCCAAAAATTGTCAAAATTTCACTTAAAAAAGAAAATATAGAAAATAAAAACAATAATTTTATACATAATCCCAATAACCCAAACGATATTACCATTATAATATAGGAAAGATAAAAATAATCAAAACTATAGTATTTGCTTTGTACCTTCCCTATTCTCTATTCTAATGATATTTTGTGTTAAATAATCCCAACAATATTTTTAAGAAATAATGAATTTAATTTCGAATTATTTTAACTGAGCTTTTTTGAATATATCAATTCTTTATAAACAGTCTTTGGCCATTAATTGTAAAAAAGCCTAACTCTTTAGCTTTAAATTCCATTGAATTAATCCCCAAGAGAATTTATTCTTTATTGGAATGAATTTAATTGCATGGTCATTGTTGTCTTTTTTAATAACATTATTAAACATTTTTAAATGCAGTTTGAAGAATAGATAACACTTTAATGAATTAATTCTTTTAAAGCTTTGTATAGACAACTATTGAATAACAAACAATCGAAGCATTAAATTAACAATCACTATTTATTTACTTGCATTTATTTATTAAAGTCAAACTTACAAAAGATTAAAATTGATTATGTGTTGGAAAATTAAGTTATTTTTTAGATGAAAATAAGAAATAAAAAATATTGAAGACAAAAATTGTAAATGAAGAAAACAATGGATTGTACAATGTACCAACGTACAATAAGTACTTGTCAAACTAGTGCAGTTTGCACATTTATTTCAAGAACATACACCACAGTTATTTGGATTATATATGAGACACAATAAAAACATGATTCAGATCAAACCAAAAGACAAAAAGTTTGCTCTACTTAATGAAGGTAAATGGACATGCAACATTGCATAAAACATCGAAAAAAATATATGTATGTATGTTTAAAAAATTGACCATTAAAGGCACCATAATTTATTTATACAAACACAAAAACGTACATAAATAAGAACAAAATATATTCTTTACTCCAAATCCAAAAATAAATAATTGCAATTTCATACATAAAAAGTGTTCTTTCGGAAAGTTCATTAAATTAGATTGTTTTTAACAATGTTTTAATCGCAAAAAAAAATATACATTTTCAGTAAACATTGACTACTGAATGCTATTATAGTTTAAGGCTATTGCTACTGAGCATGCGCGACAAGCAATTTTTCATCCTTACCCCACAAACATTAAGTTCAATTCTATTACATACATATGTATGTACAATGGCAAATAATAACACAGGTCAACAAAATTTGAAAAAAAGTTGAAACCCAGAGAAATAAATAATTTTATATGTTTCAGATAGAGATGTAACGAATGCTGGCTTAAATGTAAACACTCTTAGCGAATGAAAACTTAAATTCCCTGATTGGTAGTAGTGTTTTAGTTATATACATATGTATTATGAAGCAAAAATTTTGTTACGACTCGATTTTTCATCAGAATATATTCAGTAATTTCATCATTTTCAATTTTCTCCTCAAATTACATATGTACTTGATTTTCATTCGGATTCGCTTTTGCATTCGCAAAAAATAAAATTAATTATTCGCTTTCGCTAAACTGGCATTCGCAACGACACTAGTTTCAGATAGCGTGTCCTAAAATTCGAAAATCCGTTTTTGGAGATATTTTTTACCTTTATTTACACATTTTGTTATGACATCTAAAAATACAATTTGCCAACTTTAAAATGAAGTTTAAACTTCTCTTCTAATTTTTTCCTTCATAGAGATATCTTAAACTAAAATTGGAAAAAACTATCTAAAAAACCTGATGTGATGTAGAAATTTTGAGGTCAAATTCCGGTTTGGCGGATCTCAATACATTGGTATACTTTGGTCTCTTGGTTAAAAATTTGTTAGTCTGTGTAATTGTTGGACCATTAGTTGTTTTCTGTAACAAAAATATATTATTTATGGTTATTGAAAAAACGTTACCTTTAAAATTAAAACTACATACAACTCAACAGTCAAGAATGAAAATAATGAATTGATCTATCGATATTGCACAGATGTTTTAAAGAATTTAAAATTAAATATTTTAAATCTTATAAATTCAAGGCATTTGTTTTCAGAAAGAGGCTCAATATTATTTCAAATACAATTTGTCCAAATGCTGAGAGATGGATGTGAATCCAATACTTTTAAGCAAATACATACAATTCAATGAAATTAAATTTTAAATGTCTGTTTTTAAGAGAACTATAATATATTCTACATAAGTGAATAAAATACCTATTTATAAGAAGTTACTTAGTATAACGAATTAGTTAAGATGAAAACATAAACTGCCAATCCACAGCAAATTTAGAAAGAAAAAAAAAAAAAAACAAATACTAACATGTAAATAAAAACATTTATTAGAGCAGATTCGTATAGACCCCAAGTCGTGATGTGTCAAGCGGTTGTAAACAGCTACAATAACAAGAAAAAATACAAATGAAAAGAACACAGTCTCGACATTAAACCATTTTTTAAAAAAATATAAAATATAGACAGACAATTATGTGTATAAATATGTATGTTCGAATCTGTATGACGCGGTTTGTTATTTTTTTAGCTTTAAACTTAGTGGATGTACATAAAGAGCTTGTTGATCTGCCTCCATGAGACACCGACTTGAAATAAAACAACGTTTTTTATTTTTGTTTTTATTAATTTGCGATAACCCCGTTTCAATTGAATACAAAAAATAAATGATTTTTTTATTTGTTATTGTAATTATTTGTGGGATAGAAAAAAGCAAAGTAAATGAATTATTCCATAACGGTCTTTCTTACAATTTTGAAATTGAAATGATATCGACAAAATGGAAACCAGTTTCAAAAAACTGTATCTTTCTTTCAACAGCGCATTTGTCCAATTGTGAAAAACTATTTTTAAATTATACGACAGCAAACACATTACATGTGCGTCCTTCTATTCGAAGTTGTAAAGCATGACAATAATTCAAAATTAAACAAGGTTTTTAAAAAATATTGAGCTTACAAAAAAAAAAAACTTACAAAAGTTGGCTTTATTCATCAGTTTAGCTTAGCTTACGTTGATTATTTATTTATTACTTTTTTAATTCAGTTAAATATTTAATTGAACAATTTGGATGTTTTTCAAATTCTCCTTATAACGCTCTAAAACACTTTCGACTTCTTCGGCAACGAATTCATCGACTTGATCGCTGGCACGTCCAGTGAATGTTTTAGCATCCAAAATATCGTCCAATTGATGGAGAATGGGAGCAAAGTAAGGGTCATTGCGGACACGTTCAACCAAATCGTTGTCTTTACCATGTTGTTTGACTTGAGCCCCGGCTTGGTGTGAAAGTACACGAATTTTTTCATGACACACCTGACGATCACCACCAGCCTTAACCATAGCCATAATAATATTTTCAGTAGACATGAAAGGCAACTCTTGGGAAATATGACGTTCAATCACCTTGGGATAAACCACCATACCCTGAGAAATATTCAATAGTGTTAGAAGTGCTGCATCGGCCGACAGGAAGGATTCGGACAAAGTCAAACGACGATTGGCCGAATCGTCTAGAGTACGTTCCAGCCATTGGGTGGCATGCGTATTAGCGGCATTGGAGAACAAGGTGATGAGATGACGAGCCAAAGCACAGCAACGCTCCGAACGCATGGGATTTCTCTTGTAAGGCATAGCCGATGAACCAATTTGGGTTGTTTCAAAGGGTTCTTCAAGTTCTTTACGTGAAGCTAAAATTCTCAAATCTGAGCACATTTTGTGAATACTTGTTCCCAAACTGGCCAATGCACCCATAACTTCAACATCAACTTTACGCGTATAGGTTTGGCCGGTTACTCCATATGGCTTTTGGAACCCTGCCAATTTAGTCACAAGTAAATCCAACTGCTTAACTTTCTCGCCATCACCATTGAAAAGTTGCAAAAAGGATGCCTGTGTTCCGGTGGTACCCTTAACACCACGACAACGCAAATCTTCACGACAACGACGTAAGGCACGTTCATCCATGACCAAATCTTGAATCCAAAGGCAGGCACGTTTACCAACCGTTGTCAGTTGGGCGGGTTGCAAGTGAGTGAAACCCAAAGTTGGTTGAGACTTGTAATTTAAGGCAAACTCTTTAAGGCAATAAATTACCGAAGCCACACGAGGTAACAGAAGATCCAAGGCATCACGCAATATCAACAGATCGGTATTGTCGCCTACATAACAGGAGGTCGCACCCAAATGAATGATGGGGGCAGCCAATGGACATTGTTTGGCAAATACATGTACATGGGCCATAACATCATGACGCGTTAAACGTTCCTCGGCCGCAGCAGCTTCAAAATCTATATCCTTGACATGGGCCTTCATTTCAGCTATTTGCTCATCGGAAATATCTAAACCTAATGTCTGTCAAATGAAAATTAATGTTAAATGCTTTAATATCTCTCGTCTAGCTCACATGTTCTACATACCTTTTCAGCTTCGGCTAGCCAAATCCATAGTTGTCTCCAGGTGGAGAATTTATGTTGGTCACTGAACAGATAT